AAGCTCAAGGTGATCTCTCAGAAACTCAGAATTATTCAGCAGAAATTCAAAGTGTAAAGCTCAAATCTCCAAGCATCGAGCCAGATTCTCAGGCCACTGGGCCAGAAGGAAAGGTTATGAAAACAGAAACTGTGAGTACTGAGCTAGAAGATGGGAATATTGAGATGGTTGTCCAAGATTTGCTCTCCAATTGTCATCACCAGCATTCTATACCCAAAGACCACTGTGTTCTCCATGAAGACCAGAATATTTTACCTAAATATCAGGACCAGAATTTTCTACCTAGAAATTGTCATATCCTCCCCAAAAGTCAGGACCAAGACTTTCTACAAACAGACCAGGATTTTCTACTCAAAGACCAGTGTGTTCTTCCCAAAAGCCAGAGTATTCCATCTAAATATCAGAACCAGGATTTTCTCTCTACAGACCAGAATATTCTACCCAAATGTGAAGTCCAAGATTTTCTCCTCAAAGATCAGAATATTCTACACCAATATCAGGAGCATGATTTTCAATCTAAAAATCAGGTAAAATCAAGTTGAAAAAAATTTAATACCAAGAAGTAATCGGGTTTGGTATGGGACTTGGAAGCATTATATTGCCACTGACTTAAAGATTTGTAGGTGGTAATTAAGGATTTCCTGATTGGTTTCCCAAAACTTCAGGGTTCATAACAAGTGTTCCAGTATTACTCCTATCTAGATAATTTATTGTTTTTAAAATCTTACTAATTAAGAAAATGTTTCTGGCAGCCATCATCTGCTTTGGCAGGTGAAAAATGGATAAAGGAGTGGCCCACAGTATTCTCAAAGTTTATTCAGCTTCTGAGGCCAGCTCTCTACCTGAGATACAGTAGACAGAAGAAGGGAATCAATAGGAAGTAAATTTGATATAATTGTGCTTTTGTAGGAAGGAAATAATTTTTGTTTTACTCCAAAAATTGTCCAGTTATACTCTGACCTTAAGTCTATATCTAAATTAACTTATCATTCTTTTTAAAATTATTATTATTAAGTAGTTGTACATGCTTCTTGGCCAATGTCACCCCTTTCTTTGTTCTCCCCTGCTTTTCCCATTCACTGAACTGTTCGTATTTTTTGTTTATTCTGTTTTAGAATGTAAATTTAAAGCAGCCAGCATCAATTTTGATAGGTAGATGAGGGAGAGAGGAGCCTCCTGCATGTCCACTGGGATTTTCTATGCAGGCATCATCAGGCCTCCCAGGGATAAGCTAGAACAGAAACATGACAGAAACCAGCAGGAACTAAATGGTTTAGGGTTCAGTTTGGAGCTTGCAAAGATTATTCTCTATTACAAGAAGTATGTTTTTCAGTTTTATTCATAATATTTTATCATTCACTCTTAAGACTCCCAACAAATCCTCGAAAATTACTGCTATACTATTATTCCTATTAAACAATATATAGTTGTGTTTTTTTCTCTTTCAGAAAGTACGCTTTCAGGAGCCATTCTCTGATAGGACAGATGAAAAAGGGAGAGAAGTCCCTTCTGTGGATCATCAGTACCTGCCATCTAAATTCAGGTTCCAGGACTTCATAGGAGACCAGGTAGAGCAGAAAGAGATAAAGAAATGGAAAATAAAGTATCTGAATATTAGTATACAAGGAATAGAATCAGAACTTTGAAGCTAATCTAAGCATATATTATTTTTGATTACCTCCCACATTACTAAACTAGTATTCCTAAATCCTATTAGAACAGTGCCCTTGCTTTGAGAAGGATGGGCAGAGTGTTTGCATTTCAGTTCCTGATGGGCTGTTTGTTCTCCCCACCCCCCCCACACATTTACTTTTTATTTGACATAAATAATTGTACAAGGAGATCTCATTCTGACATATCCATTTGTTCATACTATATACCTTAATTAGATTCACTTCTTCTGTCCGGTTCCTTCTACCTTGCACCTTATAGTACAAGAGACTCTAGTCTAGTGAACCATATAAATCAAATCATTTCTTCTGTCTGAAGACTGATAACATTAAACTAATTGATAAGGATTAGTCACAGTATTTTCCACAAACATAGTTTCCTTACATGAACAATATAGGATCTAGAATTAAAGTCTACAAGGTTGGATGGAAAGTAAAACATCCTCACTGATGATAAAACATCAAATATTCTTCCTGATATTATTTCCCTAAAGTTTTCACTGAAACCTAAGGAGTAGCATATTACCCTTGTTTTATTTTCTTTCTATTCTTGTCATTCTCTTAGAACATATTTCTCCAACAACCCTCATCTTTTATGAGAGAGAAAAGAGAGGGGGAAGAGTTGCTTCCGGAGTATCATCAGTATGTTCCACCTAAAATCCAGGACCAAGTCTCCTATAGAGAAGAGGTAGAGTAGCATCTAGAGAAGGAGGGATATATACTTCTTTTTTTTTTTGGTACTGGTACTGGATTCTTAAACTCAGGTCTTGGGCATTGTCCCTTAGCTTTTTCACTCAAGATTGGTACTCTTCTACTTGTGCTACAGCTCCACTTCCAGCTTTTTTGGTTGGTAATTGAGGATAAAAGTTCCATGGACTTTTTTGCCATAGCTGGCTTCAAACTATGATCTTCAGATCTCAGCCTCCTAAGTAGGATTGCAGACATGAGCTACTAGTACCTGGCTATATACTTTATTGTCACTGAATTCTGTGGTATTGTGATTAGCCCATCATGTTTAGACTGTTGCCTATTTTATATTTCTATAGAACAAGTATGGCAAACAGCCTTCATCTTTGGAAAAACAGGAGACTGCAAGAAGACTTGCCTCTGGAGCACTGTCATGACATTTTACCTAACATTTGAGACTTAGCTTCTCTCATAGAATAAATAGAGTCTGATAATAGCGAAGAGTAGGGAACAGAGAAAAAACTGCTTAGGTTTCTGCTTGACATTGATAGGGCAACCTTTAATAATGGGGAAAAATATAATGTTTTGTGATATATCAACCATTCTTACTGATACCACTTCAGTCCTCTCCACTGAAGCTTTTTGTATTGCTGCAGGTGTAATGCTCCTGCTTAGATGATTTATATCAACATTTATATGTCTTTTAGCACAGGAATACAGGCATCATGTGATGTGACAGATGACTGATGGAAAAAGAAGTTATTTCCAGAGTGCCAGTAATATGGTTTACATGAATTCCAGGATCCAGGCTCTGCCAGAGAGCAAGTAGAGCAAAGTACAGTAAAGAGCTAGCAGCAGAAAAAAGAATTCTAAGAGTTTGGGCTCAGTTTGTCAGAGCTGTGTGAGATGTTCACAGAGATGATGATAGTATTATCTCTTATTAATATTAGTGATGTTATTATCTGAAATAATTGCTTATTTTATGATGTACCTACCATAGCCATAATGGTTTATAAGTTTGTATGTGTTATTTTAACTTCCACAATAACCCTGGCAGATAGATACTAATACTATTTTTTGCTTTATAGATGAAATTTAAGATTGTTTTATGCAGTTGTGATCCATAAGAGTAACAAGAAGTATGTCTACTTTTATGCCATAATATATCAGAATATTCTGACCTATTTAGATTCCTTCAGGCCTATTAGTGAAGCCACGGTATTTTCTCAATGAATTTCACTACTCACATTTGATAAGTGCTATTGTGTCTTTTAGAGCCCATACTTTAGGCACAAGCTGTCTGTTGGGACAGCTGAAAGACGTCAGGAGGATTTCCCTCTGGAGGGTCATCAGCATCTTCCATATAGGCATCAGAGAAATACCTGCAGAAGACGACAGGTAGGGCAAACTACAAAGTAACGGGATTGAACTCTTTGAAATTGAGCCATTTATGAATGATTGTCATTGCCCGACACTGACTAGTCTTAGCCTTGAATACTCTTTAAGCTTCTTGCTGTACCTCCACACTCTCAGCCTTTTGTAAAGAAAATACAAGCTGTAACCATTTATCTTTTTTTTTTTTTTGCCTGTCCTGGGGCTTGAACTCAGGGCCTGGACACTGTCCCTGAGCTTCTTTGACTCAAGGCTAGCACTCTACTACTTGAGCCACAGTGCCACTTCTAGCTTTTTCTGTTTATGTGGCACTGAGGAATCAAACCCAGGGCCTCATGTATGCTAGGCAAGCACTCTACCACTGAGCCACCTTCCCAACTCCTTTTTTTTCTTTTTTACATTATTGCCTATTCTATTTCAGAGGAAGAGTTGTTCGTTTTTGGAACTACATTCTGGACTCCTTTGTCATCTTCCCCCCAACCCCTCATATCCTTGCTCTATTAATTATCCTTTGTTATAAATATATCTTTCGCCACTTTCATCTTCTTAGCTCTTTCCTCTTAGCAATATTCCCAAGTCATCTGAGCATGTTGGTACACACTTATAATGCCAGTTACTCAACAGGTAGAGACAGAAGGATCTCAAGTTAAAGGTCAGCCTGGGCAAAGTTAGTGAGAGCTTGTCTAAAAACAAAATACAAACCAGCACAAAAAGGAAGGAAATCTCTTCAAAGTTAATCACTGTCAAGAGATGAATGTATTCTTTTTGTCTCCTTATAAGCATTTATTTACATGTGAATGTAGGTACATGTTTAAAAAAAGTATGGTAAAAATATACCTAACATGAAACTTACCACTTTATGATTTCATATTTGTTTGTTTATTGTTGGTCATGGGGCTTGAACTCAGGGCTTGGTCACTATTTCCTGAACTTTTCTGCTCAAGGCTAGCACTCTACCACTTTGAGCCACAGCTCTACTTCTGGTTTTCTGGTTAATTGGAGATAAGAGTCTTACAGACTTTGCTCCCCAGGCTAGCTTCGAACTGTGATCCTCAGATCTCAGGCTCCTGGGTAGCTAGGATTACAGGTGTGAGCCATGCTTGAATTCATGATCCTCTTCATCAGGCCTCCTGAGTGTTAAGATTATTGGCATGTACCACCACATATAGCTCATTTTAACCATCTTCAAGTGTACAAAACATTGGCATTAAATGCATTCACATTGTTACACAACCATCACTACCATCTGTCTACAGAACTTTTTCATCTTGTAAAGCTGAACCTGTATGCCCATTAAACAATTATTTCCATTTCTCCTTCCCTCAGCTCCTAGAAACCACCATTCTATTTTCTGTCCCCATGAGTTTGATTACTCTAAATATCTCATAAAGTGGAATCATACAGTATTTATCCTTTTGTGCCTATCTTGTTTCATTCATCATACTGCTATTATATCGGACAGTATTTCCTTTTTAACCTGAATAATATTCCATGTGTACATATACTGCATTTTGCTTCTCCACTCTTCCACTGATGGACACTTGGATTGTTTTCACCTCCTGTTTGTTACACATAACAATGTAATGAACATGGGTATGTAACCATGAAATGTCCAGTTCTGCTGTTGCCTGAGAAGTCAATAACTCAAGAAATAGAGTAATGAAAGAAGAAAGAGATTTATTGGCAACATGTCAGCAGGTTGAAGTTACTAACCAGGAGATAGTATAACTAGTACTACTCTGTGATGTTTACTATTTTCAGACAAGGCTGACTTTATTGGCTAATTACTTGGGAAGCAAGACATAGGAAAGTGAGATAAAACATAAAAGTAGAAAACAAGGCTGGGAATGTGTCTTAGTGGTAGAGTGCTTGCCTAGTATGCATGAAGCCCTGTGTTCAATTCCTCAGTACCACATAAACTGAAAAAGCCAGCTGAGACCCTGGAGAGAGAGAGAGAGACACACACACACACACACACACACACACACCTCTCTCTCTCTCTCTCCCCCTCTCTCTCCCTCTTTCTCTCTCTCTCTCTCTCCCTCTTTCCTGTTAGGAGCAAGCTAACCCATGCATCAGCTTTAATGAGCATACTTGGTAGTCCTAGGAGTTAATACCTGTTCCAGTCTCTGCTTTAAATTCCTTTTGGTGGAATTGATAGATTATATGGGAGTTACATTGTTTATTTTTATTTTTTGCCAGTCCTGGGCTTGAACTCTGGACCTTAGTTCCTTTTGCTTAAGGCTAACTCTCTATCACTTGAGCTACAGTGCCATTTCCAGCCTTTTCTGTGATTTATTGGAGATAAGAGTCTCATGGACTTTTCCTGCTTGGGCTGGCTTTGAACAATGATTCCTCAGATCTCAGCCTCCTGAGTAACTAAGATTTCAAGTGTGAGCCACCAGCACCCAAAAGAATTTATTACTTGTAAAGTACTTCTTTAGGGTTTTCTTTTCCATAACTGTTTTTGTCAAATAATTAATAAACAACTTTATGGATATTTCGGTTTTAAAAGACAAATAATTATTTAATATATATATATAGTTTGAACATGGGATACCTCAGGAATTGACTTCTTTCACTTGAAAGGTTCTGGGTTTGATCATTAGTACTACAGAAAGAGAGATCCATTACCATTGATCTCTTACTTAGCAGTATTGTAACTCATGTCTGAGTGAAGCTTATCTTAATATATACATTTTCTGTCTTATCACATCCTTTTTTTTATATGTGTCAATGATTGAATCAACAGGTAACATCACAGCATTTGTGCATTCAGGAATAGTAGGTAATATATCTGTTCAATGAGCCATTTAAAATAGTGGTATTACTAACAGAACTGTGTAAGAAATGTGGTACTAAATAAGCTCAAACAGACCTGTTTAAGCTGAAATAACAAAGTAGAATATATTGCCTTATTCAACTTAGATTTTTCTAATCTAATCATGTCATATAAATGAGATCATGAAGTCTAAGGCTTTTTGTGACTTCTTTTTTTTTTTTTTTTGTGCCAGTCATGGGGCCGGAGCTCTGGGCCTGGGCGCTGTCTCTCAGCTCTTCAGCTCAATTCTAGCACTCTACCACTTGATCCATAGCGCCACTCTAGCTTTTTCTGCTTATGTGGTGCTGAGGAATCGAACCCAGGGCCTCATGCATGCAAGGCAAGCACTACCACTGAGCCACCTTCCCAGCCCATGACTTCTTTTTTTGTTTGTTTTTGTTTGTTTGTTTTGGGTCCGGTCATGGGGCCTGAACTCTGGGCCTGGGCGCTGTCCCTCAGCTCTTCAGCTCAAGGCTAGCGCTCTACCACGTGAGCCACAGCGTCACTTCGGTTTTTTTTTCTTTTTGCTTATGTGGTGCTGAGGAATTGAACCCAGGGCCTCATGCATGCAAGGCAAGCGCTCTACCACTGAGCCACCTTCCTAGCCCTTTTTGTGACTTTACTTAGTATAGTGTTCTTAAAGTTCATTGATGATAACGTATAGAGGGGTTTCATTCCTACAAATAATTCCATTTTATGAAGCACATGTTATTCAGCCACTCATTAATTGAGGGATACTTGGCTTATTTCTGCTTCTTGGCTGTTATAAATAATGTTATGCACATTTGTAAGTTTTTCTGTGAACATCTTTTTCATTTCTCTTAAGTGTGTATCTCAGTGGAATTGCTGGGATGCATGTTCATTCTGTGTTTGGCCTTTGGAGGAACTAACAAATTAATTTCCAAAGTGGCTGCAACCTTTTCAGTCCTACTAGCAAAGTACAAAAGTTTAAATTTCCCACTTCCTTACTAACACTTGTCATTTATAGGACTGAGAATTGAACCTAGGCCTTACTCTTGCCAGGCAAACACACTGGCATTGAGCTCTAACCCCAGACACCATATCTTTATTTTAAATTATTTTCTATCAAAGTAGGTGTGAAGTGCTGGCTGTATTTTTCTATTTAGTATTTTCTTGAAGCTAGGGGTATGTTTTTTTAATTCTTTGTCCATATAGAAATTGGCTTGTTTGTATTTTGGTTATTGAGTCACGGAATTTCTTAGTATTTTCTATGTACAGGCTGTGTATATGTGTGTATATATATAATATATCTCTGTCTATATGTGTGTATGTATATATCTCCATATATATGTGTGTATATGTATATAGATAGTATATCTCCAGATAGATGCAAATGTCTTCTCATTTTATGGGTTTCTTTTTCATGTTTGTGATCAGTGTAATTCCTTCTGAAATTGCCTCTTTTTATCTATTTTGCTTTTATTTTATATGTTTTTTGTTTATCTAGTTGACTTCAAAGTTGTAGGAAAATAGAATCAATAGATAAAAAAATCGAGAGGATTCACAGGGCTAGCGTGTGGTAATTTTGTTACTTTGTGTGACTGGACTTTCTGACAGGTTTCTAATGAAGATCAGTCAGAATTGAACACTGAATTCCAAGTTCCACTGGCATTTCAGTCTGGAGTAGATCAAGAAGAAGACAAGAAAGAGGTATATAATAATATGGTACATGTGAAGTTAGAGCTGATAACTTCTCTATAAGCTCTTAGGACTTAAGCTACATAGATGTGAAATAAGAGCACTGATTCAAGTGAATTTCTCCAGCCAGTATGAATTGGTCACTGATTCAGAGGGAAAATGTACATTTATAACTTCCTTTTGTTTCCCCTTTCAAGTTAGTTTAAATTTCCATTTCTAACAATGGCCATCCACCAATTATGTGGAGCCTTATTTTTAATTTTCAAAATACAGATGCCTAGAGAAAGCCAGATATACTGAATTATTGTTTGAAAATAGGTTTAAGGCATTTATCTTTTTAAAAACTATCAGTGCTGATTCGGATGCATTTCAAATATTGAAAACTACAAATTTGACTTAATAATTTTGCCAAAAAGCTTCATACTGTCCTAGTGTATGCATATAGATATACTTTAGCCTTTGGAGTAGGCTGTGTCCTTAAGAGAGAATTTATAAGTCGAGAGGTGTGAACAGGTCACACATAGTATAGTAGCACTTGCTTTTTATTGTACTTATTCCATTTATGAGTGTGATACTGTGATGTACTTCAGCCCTACTGCTCTCCTCCCTGCCATGTTCGTCTAGGTGTAGAGTATAATTCTAATTTTGGAAAGTTGGATGAATATTGTTCTGTCTTAAAATTCCTCCTACATTCTTTCCATGGCCCTATTTTTATGGCATTTACTACTTGGAAATATGTTCCCTATCTTACTATATCAAGTACGATCATTTCCTTAGGTTCTATTGACAAAGGCACTATATACTAAGGGAGAACTAGATTAATGCTTCTTTTTTCAGCCTATTATTGTATCTATGTGTTTGGAAATATGTGTTATTATCCTGAGTCATGGGAGAACAGGTTTCATGTTTCTTCTTTAAAAATACTTTAAAAACTTTCAAAAATTGTTATTATGAAGGTGATATACAGAGAGGTTAACAGTTATATAAGTCAGGTAAAGAATACATTTCTTTTTGGACACTGTCACCCCTTCCCTTGCTCTCTTCCAGTTCATCCCTCCTGTCCCTACCATAAGTTGTATAGTTCATTTTCAACATAGTTTCTAGTGATACCACAGCTGTATTTGTTTACCCTTTCTCCCTCCATTTCTGTGACTCTTATATTCCCAAAGACTATATAAATGATCAAACAAGACAAAAAAGAAACAAAAACAGCAACAAAGAAAAAAAATCTCTTGTTTCCATTATGTAGAGTTCATTTTGATAAATATTATTTTGTATGATGAGATGCACATAAATTTTTACAATTTTTTTGGGGGGGTCCAGTCTTGGGGCCTGAACTCTGGGTCTGGGCGCTGTCCCTCAGCTCTTCAGCTCAAGGCTAGCGCTCTACCACTTGAGCCACAGAGCCACTTCGGTTTTTTTCTTTTTGCTTATGTGGTACTGAGGAATCGAACCCAGGGCCTCAGGCATGCAAGACAAGCGCTCTACCACTGCGCCACGTTCCCAGCCCAAATTTTTAAAAATTTTTAAGTAGTTGTACAAAAGGGTTTCAACTCCATGTTACTTCTGTATCATACAGTTTTCTTGTCTATATTGTAAGATTACCTTCTTTCCTTGTGAAGTTCTCTGAGAACAGAATCTTACTAATTTTTACTTCTTGCTTTTAGCGCCAAAAGCAGTATCTGAGATACAGAAGACTGTTCATGGATATTGAGAGAGAGCAAGTGAAGGAACAAAAAAGAGAAAGAGAACAAAAGAAAAAAATTGAAAAGTAAGTTCTTTGATTCTCATTCTGAGGCTTAATTTACTAGTTGTGTTTAGAGGCTAAATCTTAGAAGTTATCAGGTGTTGACTCTGTGTGTGGCTTAGTGATAGAGTATATGCATAGCGCTGATTTCGTCTCAAAAAGTAAAAAAGGAAGAGGGGCGGGAAAGAAGAAGGAAGGAAGGGAGGAGAGGAGGACTTAAAAGGAATTAGGATATGATTTACCTTCTGACATATATTGGAAACAGTTATTTTTTATTTTTATTTTTATTTTGTCAGTCATGGAGCTTGAACTCTGGGCCTGGGTGCTGTCTCTGAGCTGAATCTTCAGCTCAAAGTGAGCGCTCTACCAATTGAGCCACAGTGCTACTTCCAGTTTTCTGGTGGTTAATTGGAGATAAGTGTCTAACAGGCACGGCACCTGTGGCTCACGCTTGTAATCCTAGCTACTCAGGAGGCTGAGATCTGAGGATCATGGTTCAAAGCCAGCCCAGGCAGAAAAGTCTGTGAGACACTTTTTTTTTTTGATCTGGATAGTTTATTGAAAGTAGTGAACAACTAGTTGTTCCAATAAAATTAGTTGACTAATAAAATAAATTTATTTATTTACTTATGCAGCATTGAATTTGAACTCAGGGCCTTGTGTTTGGTAGGAAAGTTCTATACCACTTGAGTCACACACTCAGTCTTTTTTGTTTTAGTTATTTTTCCAATAAGGTTTTGCATTTATGCTTTGGCTGGCCTGTACTCCAATCCTTCTATTTACCCTTCTTACATAGTTGGTATTACAGGCAGGTACCACCATGCCCAGCTTTTTATTGATGGAGATAGTTTCACCAGCTTCTGCCTGGGCTTGCCTAGAATCATGACCCTCTTGGTCTTCACTTCCTGAGCACCTTTGTTTTTAAAAGCATGAGCTACTGTGTCTAGCTTTCGACCAATTTTAGATGCACAGCTAAATTGTGCAAAGTGACCCATTTTTGTATTCCCACCAAATGTGAATGAAACTTCTTTTGAGGGAGGAAAGAGCAGGACTGGACCTTGACTCCAGGCTTTTATATTCTTGCTTAGCTTTTCTGCTCATGGCTAGCGCTCTACCACTTTGAGCCATACTTCTCTGCTTTTTGATGGCCAACTGCAGTGTGAACAAGTGAGAATTCTTTTTTTTTTTATAAATTTAATTTTATTTTATTTGTGAACATACTGTACAGAGGAGTTACAATTACATGGGCAGGATAATGCGTACATTTCTTACCAAGCATTGCAGCTTCCTCCTTTGTTTACCCTTCACATCCCTTCCCAGCCTCCCCCCAACAAGTGAGAATTCTTATTGCTCTACATCCTTGCCAACATTTGGTATGGACAGTATTTCCTAGGTGGATAAATATGTTTTGGGGTAAGGGAATATGAGTTCTCCGTTAGAAACCAACATTATCCAAATGAGAGTGAAAGGAAGTAACAGTATTTCTATAGAATCTGTTTTATTTTCACTTTTCAGTAGCAAAGCCCATTTACTAAGAACTTCTTACCTGGCAAGCACTGTACTATATGCTAAGAATATAAAATTTGAGGCTGGGAAGGTGGCTCAGTGGTAGAGCGCTTGCCTTGCATGCCTGAGGCCCTGGGTTCGATTCCTCAGCACCACATAAGCAAAATGAAAAAAAGCTGGAAGTGGCACTGTGGCTCAAGTGGTAGAGTGCTAGCCTTGAACTGAAGAGCTGAGGGACAGCGCCCAGGCCCAGAGTTCAGGTCCCATGACTGGACCAAAAAAAAAAAAGAATAAAATTGACTTAAGTTTGGATGTACTACTCATTGGTTATGTAACTTTAAGTCTCAGTATCTGTAATTATAATATGAAGATTATAATACCTAGTTTCCAGTGGCTCATGCCTGTCTGCAGGCCTAGCTTACTCAAGAGACTGAGATCTGAGGTTCAAGACCAGCCTGGACAGACAAATGTGAGAGACTCTTATTTTCAATTTACCACTAAAAAGCTAGAAATAGGTCTATGGCTCAAGTAGTAGAGCACTAGCCTTGAGTGAAAATGCTAAGAGATAATGCCCAGGTCTTGAGTGATTTCAAGCCCTAGTACTAGTACCATAAAAAAAGTTATTATCCCCACCTTGATGATAGTAGTGTTGGTGTTGATGGTGATAAAATGAGCACCAAGCAAGGAAGGAGAAATGGAGGAAGGAAGACAAAAAAAATTATAGTACTAAAAGTGAGGCAAGGATCATCGAGATGAAAGTTAAGGAGGCTTTTTAAATCAGTTAATACTCAAGCTTGATGAATTGGAGTTTGCCAAATAGTCAAAGTACTGTAGTTGAAGACATTGGTTATGTTTGAGGAATTTTTGAAAAAGTTAGTGGCTAAACTTTGGTAAAAGTGAAGTGGCACATGCTGTAATATAGGTGCTGAAAATCTTAAGGCAAAAGTCTTATGATCTGATTTATATTTTACAAAGATCTCTGGCAGTGTGAAGAAAAGCACGGCAGAGAGTAGAGGTTATTAGAGTAATTATATTGAGAGATGATGGCAACAGAGAATGATTTATTTATAATATTTAAGAAATAGAATCTATACAACTTGATGGCCAGTTAGGCTTCACATAGAGAGAGGAGTTCAAAAGTAATTTAAATTTTCCAACCACTGATACCTATAATCCTGAGGCTGAGATCTGAGGATCATGGTTCAAAGGTATACTGGGAACATAAAGCCCACAAGATTCTTATCTCCATTTAACCAGTAAAAAGTCAGAACTGGACATGTGTTTCAGGGTGGAGTGCTAGCCATAGCAAAAAAGTCAAATGAGAGCATGAAGCCCTGAATTCAAGCCTCAGTACTGGTACACACACACACACAAATTTTTCTCAGTTGGTTTTAGGTTCTGGGACAAGATGACAGATTAGAACCTTCTTCCATGTGACTTTCATGAATAAGATGAGTCAGGGCAGTAAAGGATGGACTATAAAGGGAAGACAGGAAGAGCATCACTAATCAATAAAGAGGGAACAGGACAGCTGAAAAGCACTGAGAAACAGGAGACAATGTAGAAACAAGTAGGAAACAGACAAGAGCACCAACCCTGGATCCCCGGGAGGACAGGAGAAGCTGAAGCCACATCCCAAGGCATGCCAGGTAACCCTGGTGACAACAGATTGGCAGTCCTGGCTGCAGAATACCTGACACTTCTCACAAGCCTTAAGACTAGTGTATGGAATTTGGTGGGACAGTCCAATACTGGATAGGAAAGCCATTTTGTCAGTCCAGTATCTCACGAGAGCTATTGTTCTTAGTTTTCTGTTTACCAGATACTATCTCGGGTAAGGGAGTACAATAAGAAGCAATTACAAGTTGGGGAATCTTGGGCCACCCTCTCATGTATCATGAGAGGTAGTTATGGAGAAGGCATGCTTCAGACACAGAACCACTGTGAGAAAGTTGTGGAGAGCACAGTAGTCAGTGCTTTTCCTCTGTTGCAAGAGGTGGGAAGCCCTATTTCCCCTGAATCACCACGGAGACTTAAGAGTGTTAAGCCGAAGCCCATTGCCCGTGGATTGGTTGGCCTCCAGAACTGCCTCTTCAGACCCATAGTATACCTCTTGCAGATGAGAGGGTCAGCTGAGAGAGAACTCTGAGCAGGTTATGCAGTTTCCCCAGCCTCCTCCCTCCCACAGGTGGTTTAATTGGTGGTTTAACTGGAAAACATTGAGGCTGGCAGAGTGCTAGTTTCCTTCCATTCTCCTGTAGCACAGAGCTCAGTGTACTGTTTGTTTTCCCCAGTCTCTAACGTACTGTTGGGAACCTCTAGACTTGGACATTTGTTTCCTCTGGGTGCACACATGGGGTGGGGTGGGGGTGTCTCTAGAACAAGTGGGACTTTCTCTGTGCACAGATCAGACCAGCAGCAACTGTGATTATGCAAAGAAAGGAAGTTTCTCTAAAGTAAATGCAGCTCTGAAGCTGACAACTGACCGGTGACTGGCAACATGTTAAAAGATAGACACAAACAAATACTGTTAAGTTTTCTCTCATATATATAAGGTAGATTTTTAAGACATGAAAGTAGAATGAGTACTATTTGGGAGGAGTAGGGGAGCAGCAGGAGTGCACAAGGAGAGAAAGTGTAATTAGGGGTGAATATGATGCAAGTACTTACATAAACATATATGCATGAAAATGTCATTATAAATCCATTTCTTTACCATAATAAAAAATACTGTACTACTAAGGAAATGGCCAAACTAGCTACAGAATAAGCTTTAACTAAACTATAAAGCCTTCTTGATTTTTGTTAACTTCTGGACCAGATCAAGGTGATGAGTCTTGGAATAGCAGAGAGCTCTTTGTATATTTTGGATATTAATCTTTTAGCTAAATTTTGATCCAATCTGCATTAAAAAATTTTCAGTTATGTAGAGCCAATATATAAACATTTTACAGCTCATTGGGTTGAAGATAGAATGGAAATGTATTTTGTTCAGTTCATTTAGCTGAAATCAATACACTCTTGCTATAGGTATTGTACGTCTAATGTAGATCTTCGTATGGCATGCCTCCCACGTGGCGCAGGCGGGGAGAAGTGTCTTCTTTAGCATTACTGCTGACCTTCTTTGAAAGGTTTTTTGCTTTAGGCTTTTACTTAATTCTCATTTCCTGCTGGATAATTTTTTTTTCTTGGATTTATAGTCTTGATCTCAGAAAAAATATGTCTCTGCTTTACAGATGGCACAAAATACTTGAAACTATCTAGTGGATAGTTGGCAGATACTTTGAAGTTATTTTTGCCTTTTTCTTCTTGGAGAAGCTAAACCATTTATGCTGTCTTTGCATGAATGATTATGTGAGTGAATTTGGAGATAAAAACTGTTAGTAGCATTCTAAAATAAACATTTTTTTCTGCTTTGTAAATATGAGTTTGATAACTACGTCAACCAGTTGTATAAGAATTAATGATTTGGTTTTATTTACTTAGTAGCTATTTATTAAGCTTCTACTAATTGGTAT